TTCCAACTTCGAAGATAATGACCTTTCCACCGCTAATTATAAAAATAATTATATTTAAATTACGCGTGAATCTTTAACATTTAAAAAAATATGCTCCAAGTTTACCTTTATTTGCTATAATGTCGATATAGCTATTTGATAAGCTGATGAAAAAAGTTCACTTATACTATTTGTCACTGGCAATGCTAATGTCAACACACGAATCCTTCTTTTGCCTATATATTTAGTATTGATGATACTAAGAAATTTTATTGTAAAAATCCAGAGAAAATTTAAATAATTACTATACCAAAACAAGTTGTATATAAAAGAGCAGTTTGGAAACAAACAGTTGGTGTAGTTATATTTTCTTCGATACAAACTTCGATATGTAAGAGTGATCCCTTGAAACATTCGGTAAAGCGAGCAAGTCCATTTGACAAAGAAATTATCGTTAAAAGCGATTATACGTAGGCCTAATCAATAGTTTAAACTGATTGTATGTATATTAAAAAAATAAATTGAATTTTCGCAATAAATCACTATAAAGAAACGATACCTTTAGAAGCTCTAACACGCATTGTAGCTTCCAAAATTCTGCAAATTCATGGACAAACTAAGGGGATCTTCTGACCTACTTGCGTTAAATGCAGGATAAAAGTAGATAAAAGTAGTGTTTCAAACAGATAAATAAATAATAAGTAAACTTGTGAAATCAAGTATAAAAATAACTTTTTTATGACGAAAGAAATAAACGTACTCAATGTCGTTACGTCAGAATACTGTGACTCGAGTAAGAACATGTCCACACAGACTTAAAGAGCAGATTCCTGTGTCAAATAGTTTAATTATAAATTTAATGCCCCAAATACTCTTTCGATACCATAAGGTAATGCACAAAATACTTTTGGTGTCCCCAATGCTTTAGAATCTTCTCGAGGTTTCAATTGACCTGGATTGATATTTGGTAAACTAAGATTGTAACACTATAATATTACCACCTATCGAAGACTGAATAGCAAATAATAATAGCAATATAAGTAAGCTTACTAAACCAAAGACAAAACTAAAATTACGATAAAAAATATATATTACAATTAATTTGAAACCAGCCAGTAAGGCGGACCCCAGAGCGTTGCTGACAATATGTGTATCTTTAAACATATCATCAAGGCGACCAAGCAATAAACCCGAACTTTGTACGATTATCTTCATTAGGTATTCGATCTAGTGATTCTAAAATAGTTCTTGCACCTTTGATAATATATTATAATAGTTAGATAATTTGAAATAAGGTTAACGTTTATAATTTATTAAATATATAAATAGAATAATAAGGTTATTAAGAAATACACGTAAACACTTGATTCTTTCGTGAATTTAGATTTCTGTATTAAATTTATTCAATAAACGGTACAAAGAGATCTATTTCTTAAATATATGAAACAAGATGAGTATTAAGAAATGTGATAATCTCATTTACAAAATTGGTTCGTTATATCTACCATATATTCCGTGATAGTCAAAACGTATACATAACATTGGTTATAGGCCTATTAATAAATAAAAAAAAAAACTTTATTCGTTATTATTAATAATAAAAAAATTTTTTTTTTAAAAAAAAAAAAAAAATCGAGACACTTGGTTTCAAAGATAAAAATCTCCTACTTGTCCCAACCACCACGAAGAGGTGTGTCTCATGGCTGAGAAGGTATTAATAGGGTGTATTTCAGTACTTAAAAATAAAAAAATCTAAATTAAAATTTAAAAAACTTAAAATTAAAAAATCTAAATCAAAAAATAAAAATAAAAAAAAAAATAAACCAAATAAAATAAAAAGTAAAATAAAAAAAAAAAAACAAAAAAAGGTACACTTCCTAAAAATACCCCAACTCAACTCTAGCATCTTCCGCCTTGGAGTTGGTTGTATTGGTCGCTATTCGCTCTCACATTGAAGCTAACACGGGTCAGAAATTCTCGGAATTTGAAGTAAAACTTCAAAAACTATAGCC